AGACTGTGTTCAACACTGAGAGAGAACCAGACCGGTGTCTGAGAGTCAGTGGACAGGTAAAAGGAAAAGAAATAGTCCTTATCAACACCCCAGATCTGCTGCTTCCCAGCATCACCCAATGGAAACTTTTACAACATGTAAAAACCTGTGTGAGTCTCTCTGATCCTGGACCTCAGGTGTTCCTGCTGGTTCTACAGCCTGAGCACTTCACTGAGAAACACAAACTGAGACTCTGCAGTTTCCTACAACTCTTTGGTGATCAATCATTCGATCATTCACTGGTATTAATATCACCACCTAAAAAGGGGAGTTCAGGTTTCATTGAAAAGGTTATGCAACATCCAGCATTACAAGACCTGATCAGAATGTGTAGAAACAGATATGCGAGTCAGAACCTGGACCATTCAGAGCTGTTAACACGTTTGGGTCAAACTGCAAAGGAGAACAACGGAGAGCATGTGAGCTGTGATGTGTTTGAGGATGCAGGTTTGATGATGGCACCAAAGTCTGAACACATCAAACTAGCTTTAAACCTGGTTCTGTGTGGGAGGAAAGGAGCAGGGAAGACTTCAGCAGCCGAGGCCATTTTAGGTCAGAGAGAGCTTCCTTCAGTCTCCAACTCCTCAGAGTGTGTCAAACATCAGGGAGAGGTGTGTGGACGAAGGGTTTCCCTGGTGGAGCTCCCTGCTTTGTGTGGAAAACCTCAGGAGGAAGTGATGGAGGAATCATCCAGGTGTGTCTCCCTCTGTGAACCTGAAAGCGTCCATGCCTTCATCCTGATCCTACCTATGGGTCCCCTCACTGATGAAGACAAGGGAGAGTTAGAGACCCTCCAGAACACATTCAGCTCTCGAGTCATCGACTTCACCTTGATTCTGTCCACTGTGGAGTCAGATCCTACAGCTCCAGCTGTTGTTAACTTACTAAAGGAGAACAAGGACCTCCAGGAGCTCCGTCAGAGATGTGGAGGAAGACATGTTGTTCTCAACATCAAGGACTAGCTGCAGATCCCAGAGCTGTTAGATGCTGTGCAAGAGATGAGAGGTACAGGATCTAGGAGCTTTACAAAGGACATGTTCACCAAGGCTCAGATGGAGAAGGTTGTAGAGCTGGATAACACCATCAGAAGACTTAAAGCTGAACTGCAGGACGTTAAAAAGAAAACTCAGGAGGGAGATGATGATGAAAGTCAGAACAGAGAGCATCTCAGGATGGTGCTGTTTGGGAAGACTGGCAGTGGGAAGAGTGCAACTGGAAACACCATTTTGGGAAAAGAATATTTTGAATCAACTGTCAGCTCAAAGTCAGTGACCAGGCTTTGCAAGAAAGCAACAGGAGAGATTGATGGACGTCCTGTCGCTGTGGTGGACACCCCCGGGCTGTTTGACACAACACTGTCCAATGATGATGTTCAACAGGAGCTTGTGAAATGCATCAGCTTGTTGTCTCCTGGACCTCATGTGTTCTTACTGGTGCTGCAGATCGGCCGGTTTACCAAGGAGGAAAAAGACACCGTGGAACTGATCAAAACATTTTTTGGCAAGAGATCTGGAGATTTCATCATCATTTTATTTACCATGGGAGATAATCTGGAGGGTCATCAAACAATAGAGAGTTACATACAATCTGATGACCTTTTGGAAAAACTGATCAATGACTGTGGAGGGAGATACCAAGTCTTCAATAACAAAGATCAGACCGACCGCAGGCAAGTCAGAGAGCTGATGGAGAAGACCAACAAAATGCTGAAGGAAAATGGTGGCAGCTGCTTCACCTCAGAGATGTTTCAAGAGGCCGAGGCGGCCATACAGAAGGAAGTGGGGAAGATCCTGAAGGAGAAGGAAGAAGAAATGCAGAGAGAGAAGGAGGAGACACAACGAAAACACGAAGAGGAAATGGAAGCAGTGAAGAGAAGAATGAAAGAAGAGAGAGACGAAAGTGAGCAGAAGAGAGCCAGACAGCTTCAAGAAATGGAGGAAAATATCAACAAAGAACGAGAGGAGAGAAGGAGAGATGAGGAGAAGAGAATGAAAGAGGAGATGGAGAAGAAAAGGCAGGAAGAAATTGAACGAATTGAATGGGAGAAAAAACTTGTGAGTGGAGTGTTGGAGCAGAAAAACAAAGAGATGGAAAAGCAAAAGGAAGAATGGGAGAAGAAGAGAGAAGCAGAGCGGATCAGACTACAAGAAGAAAATGAAAAGATACGACAAGAGGAGCAAACAAGACTTCAAAGGATGCAAGAAGAGTACGAGCAGGAGAAACTAAGAAGAGAAAAAGATAGAGATAAAAGTGAGAAGGAGAAAGCCAGACAGCTTCAAGAAATGGAGGAAAATATCACCAAGGAGCGAGAGGAGAGAAGGAGAGATGAGGAGAAGAGAAGGAAAGAGGAGAAGGAGAAGAAAAGGCGGGAGGAAATTCAACGAGAGGAATGGGAGAAAAAAGTGTTGGAGCAGAAAAACAGAGAGATGGAAAAGCAAAAAGAAGAATGGAAGAAGGAGAGAGAAGCAGCACGGATCAAACAAGAAGAAGAAAATGAAAAGAGACGACTAGAGGAGGAAACAAGACTTCAAAAGTTGCAAAAAGAGTACGAGCAGGAGAAACTAAGAAACAAAGAAGATAGAAAGAGAAGAGAACAGGAGGAGGAGGAGAAGACAAAAGTAATGCAGAAAAAACATGAAAAAGAACTGGAAGACATGAAGCTGAAATATAAAGAAGAGGCCAGAAAACTAGCTGAAGAATCCGGCAACTTTGGAAAAATAATCGAGTACTTAAAACCCATTGTAAATGCTGTCGTAGTTGTTGTCACGAATGTTGTCACGCAAAGCGTGAAAAAAATTGCATTTGGCGAGTAGCCTTTAACAAGTTAAACCAAAAACACAAGATGATACAACCGGTGCACCATCCTCTGATCTTCACACTGACTCATGATCATCATCACGTCAGCAGATAGAGCATCATGTCCTCTTCATTGAACAGCAGATTTCTGGAGGATAATTCTCAAACAGGGTCCAATCTAAGCCACTCAGAAAGAACTAGCACCCATTGAGACATTTCCGCTTTGTGCGTATGTTTTTAGTACCAGCTGTAGTACAATGTCTAACTTTTCAATTGTCAATCGTTTAACCAACCCTCAAGGTGCAGATCAACTTTGTCTGTTTTATGGATTTAGGGTTATAATAATAAGTAGACTTGACTCATAAGCAATATGAGTATTAATGTGACTGGGTGGAGGGGCCTCATTTATGCTGACATAATCTTCGTGTCTCAACCAAGTTTCAGTTTATTTGTTAATCTGTTGTAATATTCTCCTGAACACTGGGTGGTGTAGGGGAGCAGGGAAGCATAAAGGGGAGCTCACCAGGACAGGGGGGTTGTATGAAATTGTTTTTATCTGTTTTTATATAATCAGAATAGACAGTATTGCAAATTACTGGTTTTGAGTTGAATAAGTGTGTTCATGTTCATGGACTTGTGTTAATCAGTCAGTCACTGCCACTACTTAACGGCACCAACATTGTTTTGTGTCATCCTTTGTTTTATTTACATATATCTCTCAATATGTAGAGCATGTGCTGCCACAAGAGAGCGCCCTGTCTGTGAGCAGCTTGTTCTCAAAGTGTTGGGGTTCCTGTTGAATGATCTGCAGCCTGACTGCTGTTTGTGCAGTGTGAATCCACAATAGCCGTGTTCACACCGCAGTACTTTTCCCACTTTAGTTCCGATATAGTTCCGAAATGTCGCGTTCACACCAAAAAGAGCCGGAACTAAAATGAGTTAATCAGAACCTTTTTTACCCCCTTTTCAGTCCCTGCTAGAGAGCAGGGACTTTCGTGGGAGAAAAAGGTTCCTATTTCTGATTGGCTGGGCGGATTGCAAACCACGCCCCGTAAAACTCCCAAAAGGTTTTGTGAAGCCGCCATTTTATTATCCTTACATTAGCATTATTAGCATTAGCCCAGCGCACAAACGCAGAGAGACTAACTTGGCATGGCAACACAAAAGAAAACATGGGAGCGGTGGAGATGAGGAGGTGTCGGCGTTCTGGCGATTTACTCCGGGGACTTCGGGTGGCAGTATACGCCGTGAAGTTGTTTGCGGCCTGCCAGTAAACCCAAAGCAGAAGAAGAAGAAGTGACGTCAACGGCTTCATTTGGCTAATCCTCCCCCAGGAACTTATTCCGGTGTGAACGCGATCTGTACTTAGTTCATGAGAACTAAAGAGTTCTCATGAACTAAGTTCTCATGAACCTTTGTGGGAAAAGTACTGCGGTGTGAATGCACCTTATGATTCCCATTTCTGTTATAATCATTCATTTGTTTTAGTATCATGTGAAGTCAATTGTTGGTTCAATAAATACATCATTTAAATTTCATTGTGTTCATATTACCTCATTGCTTCGCGTCGGGCCGAACCACGCCCCCTTAACTGTGATATAATGGCCATATACCACGGCCTGTCGTGAGCTATTGCTTAAATATACTTTGGTAAATTTTGAATACAAACCTTGAATTGTAAACGTTTTTCTACCCTTCTACAACATTTGAAAATGTAATATGACAGTGGGGACATCACTACTGTAAAGAGAGAATGCACCCCTCTGTGGTGGTGAGAGAAACTGCAGGCTGCAAGCATTTCTAATTATCATCCAAATCTCTTAACTCAGTGATTCACAACTTCTAGATTAACCATTTTTAACCCGTGTGTGTCACTCAGGAAATGTTTGGCTTCACACTTTCTTGTTTCTATTTTTTGGAAGTCAAAATCTTGACTTTTTACTTTTTTTTCAGAAGTTTGAAAAAAGGCTACATTTTGAGTATTTTTTTACCAAAGGTGACTATTTGTTTGTTCTGAGAAAAAAGTCACAATTTTGACGTTTTTCATTAATCTGGAAAAAGTATTTTTCCGTAAAGTATTAGGTTCGTTTTTTGAGGAGAATATTTGTATCCTCTAAAGACATCAGAGCAAGGTTTAGGTTTCCCAAACAAAGTAATATTCTTACCTGTAGAGGTCTGCCGTCCTCCGTCCCGATCATGTTCCTCCACTCCATCAGAGAGCGCTGCAGGTTGTCCAGTCCCGTCTCCCACAGTCTGACGTACCCCCCCATATCCACCGTGACCACGCCCCCTGATCCCAGATCAGAGAGCAGCACGTCAGACTCCGACACCTTGGACAGCCAGCCGGTGTACGGAGACACCGTCACTGACCTGAGGAGCAAAAAGAGGAAGCTGAGTCAACACACTGACACAAAAAAGGGCATCAAGACCAGGGTTGGAGTTATGTGGGAGCCAATGGGAGCTGAGCTTCCCTAAAAGGAGGGTCTGAGCTCCTATAAAAGCAGTGAAATCATACATCTGTGGGGGTTGCTAATATATTACCAACAACCATTATTTTAATCACAAATAATGCCTTTTTCAATGTAATGAGTATTATTTACGTTAACGAGGTAAACAGGCTAAAAGAAAAACATGTTTTCCAAAAGAACTACGCATCGTATTCTCTCTTGAAGGACAATATGCCTGCACTTCACCTCCAAGGTGTATAAATATCACCCGTTATTTACGTTATTACCCGGCTGTTATTGATATATATATCTATATAACGTTAGTTTTAAAAAAAAACTTAAAGCTCAGATTATAACTCGAACCCTGATCAAGACTGTCCCTAATTGTGACATTTAATCTTTTCTCTAATGTGAACTTTGACTATTTTTTAAAGATGTTCTCTCTGGGATTTTCCTGGTCTTAAAATGATTAGAATCAGAATCAGAAAACCTTTATTAGTCCCACAGCGGGGATAATGTTGTGTTGTTTCCCCAAATTGACGCAAATTGGTCAGAAATGTTATGAATTGCGGTGAATATTTTCATTTAGATGAGCAGGTAAAAATCTGATATGCAATATGAAATAAGGCTAAAATATTAATAAACAAGTGACTTACAGAGAACATCCCAAAACACGTTGTCTCTTGACAAGATCCATAATGTGATTTGACGCTACTATCTATCCTTTTAATTTGAGATTTTACAAAAAGAGGTAGGGGAATTAAAACACAGTAAAACAAGTAATAAAAAGGGCATCAAGACTGTCCCTAGATTTTAACTTTTCTCTAATGTGAACTTTTATTGCTTTTATACAATATATGTATACAACAAATATATGTTCTGCCTGAGCTTTTCTTGGTTTAACATTTTAAAATCAAAGAAAAAAGTTATTTTTTCCCCCAAAATTGACGTAAATTGGTCAAAAATGTTATGAATTGGGGTGAATATTTGGATTTAGATGAGCAGGTAAAAATCTGATATCCAATATGAAATAAGGCAAACATCTAAATAACTAAGTGACTTACACAGAACATCCCAATTTGTCTGTTGACAAAAAAATAAATGTTTTTGGACGATTTGACTGTTTTTTTTACTTTAATCTCAGAGACTTTCTGATTAATTCTTGCAAATGCTTGATGCTATTATCTCAGACAAAATATTGTATTTTATTTCCTTTTAATTTTGAGATTTTCTCTTGTAAATAAACTATTTTTATATCAGAGAATATGTAGCATGAATCAAAATCAAAATATGTATTCATATTTGCATATATGTATGTCTCATGGGAGGAAAGGCTGTTTTTTTACACGTTAACTTTTTTTGTAGTACATTAAAAATCAGAACATCATAAGACAATGAATCAGTATTTCTCCATGCAATGCTGTCTCCGCCCACTAGCTGGTGCTAGATGATGCAAAAATGATGTTCTTATTATTCTAAAGTATTATAAAAAGTCAGAGTAAGACACAGTAGGAAACAGGTGGATGTGTTTACCTCGGGACGGGAATATATTTCACTTTTTTGGAGTTCAGATCAGTCACCTCCAGGTACGCCGCTGTCATCGGGGGGGTGACATCTGAGGGACGAAATCAGTTTGAATATATCTGTGACTACTCGATTTGCACGTCTGCCCGATTTGCACTGCGTAAGCGCGAGTTGATCTGCCGTATTGGACCGCTACGTACGGCAATCCAAGTGGGACATTTGACAAAGCGGCGTTTCGCAAAGACGAAAGAAAAAACGACCGCATTAATCTGAACGAGAGAGATGAGTTATTGTTTCCCGATTATTTGAGAGGAAATCCTTTTAGTGGGTTAAGTACATTCTTAGAATAAGTGAGACATGGATTTAACTTCTGTTTGACAGCCTTCACACTGGAAAAATAAGAAACTGTAAATGTTTGCAATCATTTATGGCATTCATAATTAATATCTCATTCTTAACTGTGAATTGCTTTCATTTATTTAACATTAGAAATGTATTAGTCTGGCGTAACTTTTTCTGTTGAGATTCCTGGAAAAGGGAAATTACTTTTCATAAAACAAGTTGATTCAAGGACAAAACTCTGTTATTAGATCAGTACGGACGTCAAATGTCCTGTTTGGGTTGCCGTACGTAGCTGTCCAATATAGCAGACCAACTCAGGCTTGCGCAGTGCAAATCGGGCAGTCACAACATCTCATAAACACATTTTTCTGAGCTCATTTTGTATGATGTGACCTCTGACCTTTGGGGTAGACCTCCTTCAGGGGCACCTTGTTGGGGGGGAGGGCTCGGACCACCTGATTGGCTGAGAGCAGACTGACACAGTTGTCCCGTTTGGGCGTGCTGGACCTAAGTCCGCCTCGAAGTAAGGTGTTAGCCCCGCCCTCAGCAATCCTGACCTCTGATAGGTCAACAGGCCTCTTAAAGCTGTACACCTCATTAGGGGACTGGATGAGAAAAGAAATGAAGTCAAAAATCAAACACACACTTACAGTAGCTTAGCTGTGAGTGTGTGAATATTCATGAGTTCATCTCGAGCACCAATACTAGATTAGACCCCACCATTTTCCCCCTCATGTCCTCCTATAATCCTCACCACGAGGTCTGGGAAGCCCACGACGATCCGAGCGAAGGAGCCGCTGTCGGACAGGATTCTGTTTGGAGAAACGATCTTCTGGTCAAGAGCGGCGCTCAGGTTCTCGTTGGGAAGCTGCTCACTGGACACCATCTGGGGAACAGACTCCTCCGCTGAGAGGGAGGGAAGAGGACAAACGGAGCATGATGGAACAGAGAAAACAATCATTATTACTTAAAGGTCCCCTATTATACTGTTTTTCATCAATATATTATAGGTCTCAGATATATACAGAACCTGTCTCTGATTGGCTGAAACACCAAACAGATCATTGCAGCATCCCATAATCCCCTCTGTTTCAGCCCTGTTTCCAAAGTGCTGATTCTCTGTCTGTTACTTTAGATGAAAATAAGGAGCCCCTCCCCACGTCCCTCTGAGAGAGATTTGGTTAAAAAGAACTCAATGGTGCTCTAGGAGGAGATTCAGGTGATAAGGTGGTGGGGGGGTTACCTTGGTTGCTGATTGGCTAATGGTTACACAAGACAAAACATCGTTATGACATCACAAAGTGGCCAAAATCTGATCAGCTCATTTTCAGACAGGTTTTTATATAAATGGATCAGGACAAAAAGAGAGAGAATCTTTGTTCCTGAAACTTTCAGAGTCTCTTTACACAGAGGGGACACATGTTGATGAAGAAGAGACATGAAGAAGAGGGGACACATGTTGATGTAGAAGAGACATGAAGAAGAGGGGACACATGTTGATGAAGAAGAGACATGAAGAAGAGGGGACACATGTTGATGTAGAGGAGACATGAAGAAGAGGGGACACATGGTGATGTAGAAGAGACATGAAGAAGAGGGGACACGTGTTGATGTAGAAGAGACATGAAGAAGAGGGGACACGTGTTGATGTAGAAGAGACATGAAGAAGAGGGGACACATGTTGATGTAGAAGAGACATGAAGAAGAGGGGACACGTGTTGATGTAGAAGAGACATGAAGAAGAGGGGACACGTGTTGATGTAGAAGAGACATGAAGAAGAGGAGACACGTGTTGATGTAGAAGAGACATGAAGAAGAGGGGACACGTGTTGATGTAGAAGAGACATGAAGAAGAGGGGACACGTGTTGATGTAGAAGAGACATGAAGGAGAGGGGACACATGTTGATGTAGAAGACACATGAAGAAGAGGGGACACATGTTGATGTAGAAGAGACATGAAGAAGAGGGGACACATGTTGATGTAGAAGAGACATGAAGAAGAGGGGACAAATGTTGATGTAGAAGAGACATGAAGAAGAGGGGACACATGTTGATGTAGAAGAGACATGAAGAAGAGGGGACACATGTTGATGTAGAAGAGACATGAAGAAGAGGGGACACATGTTGATGTAGAAGAGACATGAAGAAGAGGGGACACATGTTGATGTAGAAGAGACATGAAAAAGTGGATTTAGCATAATAGGTGACCTTTAATAAAAAATATGGTGTGCCTATAATATCTCTGAGCTCACTGCAGAAAGCCTGGATACACTCGTATATTTCTTCTTAGATAACGACTAAATTCACCTTCCTCAGTGAGGTCTTCTGCGTTATTGCAGTGACTCATGAACTTCCTGGTCTAAATTGTTGGACATTACTCATGACTTCACGTTGTGCTCTCACTAACTCTGACATGGAGCCATATTCAAGTTTGATAGTGATGACATGGCTCCCTTTATGGTTTTGGTTTTGACTCCAGGGCAGTTGACAGATTGTCAGCGCGGACATATGGCCGCCCGAGGCACCAGTGTATTCTCCTTATGTCCGTCTGCTTGATGTTGTTAAGGATTGACATTATGTCTTTAATTAGAGCTGGATATAAACGTAACGTGTTAATGTTTGCACAGAGCAGAGGGAGGTTCTGATCGTAGAGCGAGGGGAAGGGAGGGTACATTTCCAAGAAATACGTCAGAATTTCTGAGATAATTCATAATCTCTGATAAAAATCTCTTAAATGTTGTTACTGTAAATTTGTATTTTTTCAACATGTTCTACTTTTTTTAATGCTATTTTATTTCTATTTGAGATGTTTCACATCTTGGATTGTTTATGTCTAGTCTTTTATTTCTCTTGTGTACAATGCCTTGTGCAACGCAAAAATGTCCCAAATTGGGATCAATAAAGTACTTCTTATCTGTTCTTATCTTATCTATAGAGGTAGATTTCCCCTGATAATGGTGATATTAAAAAACTCACACATTTACAAAAAAATCGAGTTTTGTTTCACCCCTTACTTCTGGCTTTGTAATTATCCCAAACAAATGTCCAACTTCAACTCACATAAAACACCATTGTTGAGATCTCCATATTAGGTTGAATACTTAAAACGAAAGTTAGTTATAATCAAATATGATGAATTATATTCTTTTATAACCCAAAATGAAAATGCTTCATATTTTATGATTTTCTGTATTTACATTATATACAAAACACAAGTGGTTTGTTAAGTTGAGTGTAAGGCCTATTATGGTTTATGAGTGTCACTGATAAGAGAGGGGAGACAGTTTTTCCCTCCCAGCGGTGCACAAGGGGGGGGGGGGGTTCCTGACTTGTTGGAGAAATATTAAGGCCCCAAAAATCTGTTTATGCCATAGCCATAGAATAGGTCTGGACATGTCCCGTCCTGCACATCAGAGGCCATACCCAGTTTCCACAAATATGGGTATGGAGGAGGTGTCTTTAGGTTTGTCTGTCCTGTTTTGAGCATAAAAACACTGGCTGAGAGGGAGCAAACGAGAGAGAGGGGGGTTTTCCCCTGGTAGCTCTCTCCTGGTAGCTCTCTCCTGGTAAAGCTCTCTCCTGGTAAAGCTCTCTCCTGGTAGCTCTCTCCTGGTAAAGCTCTCTCCTGGTAAAGCTCTCTCCTGGTAAAGCTCTCTCCTGGTAGCTCTCTCCTGGTAAAGCTCTCTCCTGGTAAAGCTCTCTCCTGGTAAAGCTCTCTCCTGGTAAAGCTCTCTCCCGAGAGCTGGGTTTTTCCTCTGTAAGGTTCTCTCAAACTTGGTAAATATCTCTCGAATGTATTTGTTGAATGCTGATGAATTGTGTGTTGAATGATTATAACCCAGCCACCTATGAGGATGGTCCTCTGAATTCATGCTGGACATAGGTGTGTAAATGAATTGATTTGTTGAATGAAAGTTTGAATGAGGAGATGCCTCTAAATTCTGTCGGACGATTTTAAATAAACTGAATTGGGCAGTTGAAGTTACAATTTAGAGTAATAAATGTAAGACTGTGAATTGAGGTTTCATATTAGTAATTGACCACAGCATGAAATATTCTGTATGATTGTCATGTTGTAACGAGAGAAGGTAAAACCCTGTTCAAGTGTGGACCAATTTTTCTTCAAATAAACTGATCCCACCCTTTGGATTGGGACAACTTAAAATAAATCTGCGCTCTCCTCTCCTGCTTGAAAGGTAAGATTGCACACTGCCACACTCACACTTAGGTAGGGCCACATCTCATTACTGATATACAAAATCCTTCTGGATCGCTTAAACAGATTTAGCGGGTCGTCTGAATTGAAACAGCAGTTAATTGAACCTGGTTCTCCAGGAGTTAATAGGTGAGGTGAGATCTTGCTGACGTTGGTGGATCTGCGCCAAGCAGTAAACTTACAGAGACTCAATAACTTCTGTTAGGTCAATTAGTAGGTCTGAGTAATTTGCCGGAATAAATGAACAGCCCTCCTGACTCTGACACCATCGTAGGGACATCTTCAAGTCTTCATCTGCTTCCACTATTTATTTAATTTTTACTTTATTATTTGCCCTTCTTGTTTGTTTGTTCACACCATGTAAAGCGGCCTTGGGTCCCTTTTAAAGGCGCTATACAAATGTAATCTATTATTATTATGATGGGATCCTTCTGGTTGTATTCACCTGAGCTGGCTCCATGTCCCTGGCTGACTCCGTCCTCACTGAGGCTGTGAAGCTGACACACTCCAGAGTCCTCAGCCCCCATGTTCATGGGCTTCGTCAGCAGGAACTTCCTACACACACACACACACACACACACACACACACACACACACACACACACACACACACACACACACACACACACACACACACACACACACACACACACACACACACACACACACACACACACACACACACACACACACACACACACACACACACACACACACACACACCCACACACACACACACACACACACACACACACACACACACACACACACACACCACACACACACACACACACACACACACACACACACACACACACACACACACACACACACACACACACACACACACACACACAATCAGTTATTCAAACAGTAAAGATTCTGCACTGACCCCCCCCCCTTCAAAACACTGACCAAAACACACCTCTTCAGACTGGCTTTTAACGTGTGAATTATGTTGTGTTGCTGTTTTAATATTTTAATTCAACTTTTTACATTTGATTTTATTTCCTTTTTATCACTGTGAAGTGTATTTGAGCACCTGGAAAGGCGCTTAGAAATCAAATGTATTATTATTATTATTATTATACATGTCTTAATCTATCTAACCATGTTTAAAGTGTATTTTTTCTGCTTTTTAATGACTTTAAATGACGTGTTCTTAATGCTTTCAATGTTTTTGTTGTAGTAAATGTATCATTAAGTCTCATTTAAGTATAACTTCCTTCTCTGGTTGGATTTCCCCGTGGTTTGAATTCACATCTAGCTTCTAATTCTCACTTCCTTAGAACAGACAGAAGGCTGTCTCTTCGCCCATTGTTAGGATTTATATTAGATTTGTAATGTATGCAAGTTTCAACCGTCTGGCCAACACTTCCTGTAATATATACGACTGAGACCTTCTCCTTTCATTGCTTTTGAGTGTATACAGTGTTTGTATGTTCTGTTGCATGTGGTCAGATTTCTTTAGCACACATTGGTGCAGGTTATCTGTCCTTCCAGCTGGGAATAAGATTGATAACACAACTTTGGTTTAAGCTTGTATATTTGTTCTTTTCTTACCAGAAGGTGATTAAGAGTGGAATTTCCAGCACAGTTTTTGAACTTTGAATTGCCTTGTGCCGTATTGATAAAGTCCCTCAGAGAGATGTGTCCTACTCACTTGTTGGAGTTGCTCTCCTGCAGCAGCCAGCGGTCCTCGGCCACCAGGAAGACTGACTTCAGGTTCACCGGGAGAGAGATGGTGTGCACACTGCCCTCCAGAACATCCAGCACATCCAGCTGGTTCCTACACACACACACACACACACACACACACACACACACACACACACACACACACACACACACACACACACACACACCACACACACACACACACACACACACACACACACACACACACACACACACACACACACACACACACACACACACACACACACACACACACACACACACACACACACACACACACACAGACACACACACAGATGAATACCAGCGTGTGACTGAGATTGTGATGTTTATCTACTTTAGATCCAGTCACTCACCCGTTCTCCTTATAGAAGAGGAGCCAGTTTTTGTGGGAGAAGTCGTGACACATTTTATGTCCTCCTTGCTGAAAAAATAAGCACATGTTGTTTATTTGTATACTTTAAACATTGCATATTCCTCTGTATGTTTTGAATTGTTATATTTTCCTTGTGCTTAATCTTTCTATATTTTTTATTTATGTACTATTATTTTTGTAGTTTTATATCGTACAATATTTGCTCGTTTTTTTCACAATTTGAATTCCTCTTACTGTGTTTATGAATGCACCGTATACACAAAAGCAAAATCCCACTCTGTGTAAACCTACTTGGCGTTAAACCTGTTTCTGATTCTGGAAATGTTTATCACATCTTCATTGAAAAAAACAACGTAAATTGGACATTCTTAATTTCTCCACATGCAGATATGTAGAGTGTAAGAGTTGTGTAACAGCGTGACCTCTGACCTGTGGCTCCTTGCTGCTCCACCAGTTGGAGGCTCTGGTTTGGGGCTTCTCGTCCTCTTGAGAGAGGAGGAGTCTCCGCACGGCGCCCGTCTCCATGTCGATGTGCAGCACCGTGTTGGTCTGGAGGAGGAACACATTCAAAGAAAGTGGAGATTAAATGTCAGAGGAAGACTCAATTCAGAGTAGTTTGCCAGAGCAGCGGTTCCCAACCTGTGGGCCGCGAAGGCATTTGCAAAACATTATGATTTGTGTGGAAACATTTAATTATTAAGATTATTTTTCTCATTTGAACCTCTTTTCTCTTTCTCGATCCTCCTTAGCAACGGTCATTACAGTCCTTAGCAACGGTCATTACAGTCCTTGACAGCGGTCTGTTCTACTGGATTAACAACGTGTCACATGTTCTGAATCGACCAATCAGAACTTTATTTAGCCTCCGTATTGTTTATGGTAAAATGTGAGTCGTGAACATTTTTAAGATTCTTAAGTGGGCCCTGAGTTGAAAGAGTTTGGGAACCGCTGTGCTATAGAATTCATATATGTGTATACCCCAAGATAGCAGAGCTATATTCTGTGCAGTATATGTTGATATATTACTTAAAGTGGACCTATCATGCTATGTAAGGGATAATGTGCAGCGACGCGGTCATTATGGGTAAAAGAACACCGACAGGCAGATCAGGAGCCCGACGCGAAGCGGAGGGATCTAGATCTGCATGAAGGTGTTCTTTTACCCATAATGACCAAGTCGCTGCACATTATCCCGCTTATTACATGGCCACATTCTCAACAAAACTTAATTGAAATGCTTTTATGGATTTAGAAAATGATTTTATTGATTTAAAAAATAGTTGTATGTATTGATTTAAATTGACATGCATCCGCTAACAAAAATAGTCCGTTGTTACTGTTTGAACTAACGTAGCAACGGCAGGAACTGCTTCGATAGCGTTTTTGAGGAGCTTTTTGATTACAGATTTGAAAACATCGTTGCTTGCTTTAAAAGTAGCACAATTCATTATGTCAAACCTTGGGAGGTATCTAGATATCCCTGCCCTAATGCAAAAGTAACTGGCAACTGAATATGTGTCGCCGTTTGATGTCTATGTCTGGACCGCTGCGTAAAAAGGAGGGTTTCTGCCCGTTAATTCTCCGCTGTTTCCTTGTCGCTCTTGTCTTGTCAGTTCGAAAAGCAAACTGCATACAGTTTGCTTTTCAGCCAAACTGTATACAGTTCAATCGACCGGACTTCTTTCTGCAGATTTGAGCGTCCTTAACAACGGTCATAAATCCTTGACAGCGGTCTGTCTGTTCTGGATTAACAACGTGTCACGTGTGCCGAATTGACCAATCAGAATCGAGTATTCAACTAAACCATGTAATAAATTATAATAATATAGTGTAGGACCATACCTATATAAGGCATATTTATACTTTTTTTTTTTCAAAATACCAAACAGATCATGCATTTTAGCCATGCCTCATTTTGCTCAATTTGACCATTTCTAGCTCTGTTTGTGCAAGGGCTGATTCTGTGAGAACAGCACCACCTACAGGCCTGGCATATGTACTACAGCGTCTCCAGCGCTTTCGAACGGCAATGGCCGTGGCTGTCTCCTCCTGATTGGTGGAGTTGGCCCAATAGCCGTAGCGCCACCGTCCTGACGTCAGGACAGTGTTCAAATCTGGATCAGTTTTTATCAGATCCGTTGCAGCCCCTTTTTTAGAGATTTGGGTATGGAGGAAAATAGAGAGGGTTGTGTTTTCTGACACTTGGTGAGTTCCCTGGAACACCGGGGACACATATTCATGTATAAAAGACGTACACAAGTGCATTTTGCATGATAGGTCCCCTTTAAATACCATCATGATTTTGATTATCTTTGCAAACAAAGCGGTCAAATACATTAGAATAAATGTAGCACTGTGTTACTCTGGAGGGAGAACGATTTTAAAGATGGACAGAAAGTGGAGGTTAAATGTAAGAGGAAGACTCAATAAAGAGTGAAATGTTAATATATCAAAATATGTGTATACCTCCAGAAAGCAGACCTATATTATGTACAGTATATGTTGATGCATTACTTATATATCATCATGAGAAAAATCCAAACTAGCGTGGAAACAGATTCCTTTCTGAAAAATATGGAGTATGGCCTCGCATGACATGAAAACTCTGATTATTTGAGAGCAGATAGCCATATACTTGTACATCATTGTATATACCCAAATATAGATAGAATATGTATAACTTATTTAGTTATTTCAATGCAGTACACAGCTCTGGGACAGCTTGTATACATTACATTTTTTTACATTACATGTCACTTGTTAGACGCTTTTATCCAAAGCGACTTACATACTCAA